AAATGATACAGGTGTGTTATATCGTTGTTAAAAGAAAAATTGTAATATTTAAAAAAAAAATCCAACACGGCGCCCATAAGAAAAATCAAAGTTGGCCATAATATTCAAAAACTATTTTTATTAAATTAGTATTATTTCTATCTAACTGTTTTACAGCCTAAATAAAATATAGACCCGCCATAATAAAAAACTGTTCTTCTGGGCAATAAACCAATAAAAAAGTTCGACTAACTGTTCCCCAGGGTGATACCGCTATAGATAGAAAGAAGGGTGACCGGCAACCCTACCGTGTTTTTTTAAAAATAACGGCAAATCGAATGTATCGCTCCACCATTTTCGTCGACGAGCGGGCGTGGCTTCAAACATAAAAAACGAACCCCTAAAATAGTACGTTAACCCTAACGAGCGACTCGAGGCCGTAAAAAACCGCCGCGACAGGTAGGTACACGAGTTTTTTTGAGCGGGCGCACTAAAGGCAGTTCCGGTTCTTGCTTAATATGAGAATTTTAGGAATGTAGAAAAAAGTAAGGTAGGTAAAAAATTGTTTTGTAAAGCACAAAATTGTTTTTTTTAAGAGTCGTCCACTTTATTTAAAAAAAAATTTTAATGGTAATAAAACTTTTTTAATTTAAAACTAATTAAACTAATTTTATTTTTTTACTCCCACCTTTAAAACGCTCATTATCGTACAAGTTTCCATGGCACCAAGTGATCTTTTAAATGCACATTGATAAATGGCTTTATGGCGCAATTATGCTACCTAATAAAAAAAATCAAAGGATAACATATTTTCTTAAGTTATTTTAATATTTTAAAGTATTACAACAACTTCAAAGTATTAAAACAATTTCAAAATATGATAATGTTAAACAAATATGTTATCCTTTGATTTTTTGTATTACTATAATTGCAAAATATTATCACAAAGTATTAAACATTTTTACACGTAAAATGTTAAAGGTACAAAAAGTGTATTTATTGGAATTCCTGTTAGAATTTCTAACTTGGGAATCTACCGGCGTTAAAATCTCAAATTTTTCTGTGGAAATCAAAATTTATCCCTTGAAAATAGACTAACAATTGAGAATGTTTTATGGGCACTGTAAGCAAAAATTTTAACGCTCTATCAGTTAAATCTAGTTAACTGCACTAATACGGCGAAATCAAAATGTCAAGAACCTATTTAATATTTTTGTATTTTTGTATTAAGATTATAAATTAATTTTCACATTTAGTATTATTTTACAAGAAAGGCACTTTATTTTAACGATTGTATGACATTGGACAACTGTCAACTAACTTAAAACTAACTTCAGCCCGTGACAACTTGTCAATGTGTATTTAAAAAATCACTTAGTGTTATAACACTATATATGGAAACATGTACGATATATGTACCATATATGGGAACATGTACGATAATGGACGTTTTAAAGGTGGGAGTAGAAAAAATATATTATTGTTCTTCAATTGACACAATTTCTTTTAATTTCCTGGAAGCAATTTGGGTTTTTTACCATTTGGCAACTTTCCATTTTTTTGCAATGCCAAAAATAGAAAGTTACGATTTTAAGGTCCTTAAGTATTACGTAAACGTACAAAAGATTTGACCTGCTCTTTTTAGACCCAACTGTTTCATTTTATTGTGCCACTAAGCCATAAAGTAATAAAAAACGGTTCAAACCGCAAAGAATTACCTAATATTAAGCAAGTTTCTCTTCTGAAGAAGAAATCTGCCCTTTTTGACACCTAAAAATAAAAAATTTGCTTCCATTAAGCCTAACTCTAGAAAAACACGGTATAATTTTTCATATTCCGCATAAACAAAACATTAAATCCCTAGACAAACATAAGGGAAGTTCCTTAATATGTAAAACACACTTCCCTACTTAGCCAGATTAACCCAAGTCAGGTTTTTTTTATAAACAGTTCAACAAGCGTAAAAATTAAGTGGCAGCACATGTGCCTTCATTTATTTCGTATATATGAGTGTCTCTTTCTTTTTTCATCCAGTTGCAACGCACTTACGTGTAGTTTCTTCCCCCTTGTCAAGGATTCCCTGAAATAAGTATACTATAGGAACTGAGTCAATGAATAGTAGCGTGCACAAGGTGCAGGCACAAACCATGTGTGATCAGGGCCGTAGTAAGCCCAAGTAGGGTTTTGAAGGGTTGAAAAAAAAACTGGGAAAATTGGGGGGAAACAGTTTTTTTTCGATTTTTTCCCACGCCTTAAAAAAATTGACTTTTTTGGGAAAAATTTAATTTTTTTTGGGAAATATACACATAATTTTAATTTAAAAAAATATCCTTACAAAAAAAACTAAACATTGAATTAAATTAAATTTAAGAAAATAAACGTAAACGTTAAATATACTGTAGGTTGGGTCTTTTTTGTAAAAAGGAGTCCATTGAAAATATCCAATAAAAAAATTATAACTTTTTAAATCGAAGTGTCAAATAAAACCCGGTAGAATATTCGTACTGAATTAAAATAAAAGGAATAAATATTATAATCATAATATTATGATTATATTCAACGTTGAAAATTCACTTTTTTCTCGAAATGTATAAAATGAGAAAAATTCAAGAGTCAATTTTTTGAAAATTTCCCAATTTTTCCGGAAATTTTAGTTAAATATTTGGTTTATTTATAGTCAAATTAAACTCTTGAAATAACCTATATATAAATTTAGGTTATTTTAGTAGTTTAAATTGACTATACTCTCTAAAAATGAATTAGTCAAAAATGACTAATTTAATATTATTAGTGGCTGCTTTTTCACTTGTACCATGGTTAACCTTGGAAATTCCAAGTTGGAATACCATGGTATCACAAAATTTAACAGCCAATTCTTATGTAAAATTGTCCCCTGAATCCGAAAATGTCGTCAAAAGTTAAAAAAGTAGAACAGTAGAACAGTTTTTGAGATTTGCATTTAATATGGAATTGACTATACATATCTCAAAAACTGCCCCACTTTCATAATTTTTAAAATACACCTTGTTATTTCAATTTTTAGGTTAAATATAACTTTTCTTATGTTATTAATAATTATGATTGATTGTTTTAGTTCTTTATTTTTCTCTAATCACCCGACTGTGGAAATAGTATATAATTATAATTATATACTAATAAACTATTGAAAATCATTATTTATAAAAAGTTTGGTAAGAAAATCCTGAAAAATTTCATAATATGTCAATGTAAACGCTTTATATCTCAACAAATCAATCTTAAACCTTTTTTTAAGAAAATTAAATTTTCTACAAGTTTTTTCGATGAATCCAGTCATTTTTGAAATATCTTAAAAAATATGAGAATTTTTTACTAAAATCAGATTTAATTTAAACAAACCAATAATAAAACAATATTATTTTTTGTTAAAAAGTATTTTAAACCAATTTCAACCGAAATAAAGAAAAAATAGGCAAAAAAAATATATTTTTTTATTTTCTTAATTTCTTCTGCTAATTCATAAGAAAAAATGCCCCATTATAGTATTAGTTGACTTCAGAGTTAAAAATAACTTAAAAAAGTGTAAAATAAACCAAATATTAACTTTTTTAACTTAAAGTTAATTTTACCATAATTGAAATCCCCACAGGTTAATTTAACGATGTAGTACACTATTAATTAAATAAATTAATTAACCATAACGTAAATTTAACATTTTTTTAACATTTTGAAGAAAAGAAGAAATAATTGTTTGAATAAAGTAGAGCCCTGAATACGGTCCTGTGCAACTAAATGGCGCACGCCGTGTCTTATGAATGGACAGGGGATGTCATTTGGCGTAGGGATTTCGGTTTTGTTCAAACTGCATCTCATAATGGAGGAAAACCTCTTATGAGCACACTTCCGTTATAACATATTATAGCTATAGGAAATACGTATGCCCCGAGAGCAGCACGTGGCCATTTTTATTTTACTTTGAATGAAAACAACCAAATGTTATTTTATTTATATAATGTGGAGATAAGACGAGAAATGCAACTCCAAAAAAATCCGAGATAAGATTTTTCATTTATGAAAAAATGAACTTGTTTGTAATAGGATTTTTCCAGAGATTGTACGTCGTAGTTTTTTGGAAATATCATCAAAACAACTAATTTTCTATGAATTTTCAAATCAAAATATTTACGTAACACAATAAACATTTCATATTTTTAGAACACTGGCACCAAAAAACTTGAATGAGCGAGTGAATCATTAGCTTTGTTCGCGGAGCCCATCCATGACTAGTTCCGTATCTGTATAGGGTAAATAATCACGAACCATGCTACGCATGCGCGATTCGGAACCGATCAAGAATTAACAAATCTCCGCGAACGCGTTTCTAACCCCAACCATCAGTCAGCTGTTTTGTGACAAAACTTTTTGGGGAATCTCCTTCCTGATAATTATAGTATTCAGAATTGCTAAATCGCTCTGCTAAATCATCAACAATCTCTTAGCTAACTCGAAAATGCTCCCTAAATAGCTGATCATCGAACATGGGAACAATTTCTTCAAAATATGCAGTATTTTTAGGAACTTCAATTAAATCTAAACTATTTTCTAAATCTTCATCACTGGATGATAGATGATCACTCATCTATAAAATAAGCAAGGAAATGAACAATGCAAGTAAAAAATAAGTATTTCAACTAACGTTTTCGTTTAACAATTTAATTAAAAACAATAAAGAACATATAACCTAAAATAAACTTTAAACAATAATGAACAATACGCATGTCTGACAGCTAGTACATGCTAAAATCCTCGGATCGTTTTGACTTGTCAGTAATTAGTTCGAAACTGGTCCCGAAGGCTCCGCGAACGAGTGATCAAATGTCAAATGTTGCCGATTTTTACACCGCGAACGCTAAAATTGCCAGTGCGCATGCGCAGTTGTCGCGGATTGATCACGGATGAGCTCCGCGAACAAGGCTATTCTATTTACAATTTCCGAAATAACGAAAACTATTTCGGCACAATAAAAAATAAAACGACAAATATATGAATAATGGTGTATTTATTTATTAAATCCAACCTATAACTAATATTAATACTTAATTTTGATGTTTGCTCAGAAATTTCGACACAAGGTAAAATACAAAAAACCTAAAAACTAAACATACTAAAAATATAGACTTTATAATACTGCATTTCGCATTCAAAAACAGATCTACAGAAATATATGTACACACGATAAAGTGCAAAAATATGAAATCATCTTTATACAAAAAATCAGTCTTTACTGGTCCCTTAACTATTACAATATACTTATGTTTGCTAATTTCACCACACGAAATAAATTAAAACTAGAATTAAAATTTGGCAAGATAAATAATATTAAACAAATAAATATCGGTACCGTGTTCCGGACACTCTGTACGTTACAGTTGGTAATGTACGGGGTGTTGGAGGTTTACTCCCAAAGTTAGAACCGAATAATTGCACGTATTTAAAATCACAAACTTGACTAGCCAGCCTATTGACTAAGATTCCAACTTTGGGAGCGGGGTATCGGTTACATCAAGTCGCAATAAAATTTATGTACACTCTACTATACTACTCTTATATAACCGTCTAGTGGGGCCTCTGGTTGATGTGCAAGTAGAACCTCAATTTATCTGGGTGATGTTCGCTGCAGATGGAGCAGGTGAAGGGATCGGCAGGGGAATGATACCTCATGTGGAGCGAGTAGAGCAGATTGTCGCGGAAATCGATATTGCAATACTGGCATTCCGTTGTCGATGCGGGACTTTCTTTTGCGTCGGTTTCTTCGGCATTTTGCTGCACCACCTCCACGTTACTGAACATCGTGGTCAAATGATCGTCATCGTCATCGGAAGTTTCGTTCGTCGACGAAAGTCTGAACGCCGGACCTTTACGGCGACTTTTGCTCGGGCCGGCTTTGCTCAAATCCAAAGCGCCGGATTCGCTAGCTTCAGACATGACATCTTCCTCATTCTTCATCGATACTGGAGAATGCCTTTCCGATTCTTCATTGTCTTCTTGTCTCACAATCGTGGAACTTTGGCTGTCTTCGACTGAAGAACTCAGGTTCTCTTCCTGCTCATCAGTGGAAGTGGACAGCTGTCTTCCTCTGGCCAGTCTCTCCAAGTTTTGCAGCATCATTTGCTGCGATAAGGCTCCCAGTAGGGGATGGAAGAATTGCTGCATTTGCTCTTGCAGTTGCGGTAGCATGGGGAAATTCATTTGCGCGGGGTTCATCATCAAGTGGTTCATCAAGGGGGGGACTTGCTGTTGCTCTTTGGGGGCGGCCCCTTGGCTCGACACCTTCTTGATTTTGGGGCCGCGGCGCGTGCCGTAAACGTCTATTATGGGAAAGGGGTTCGGGGAGCCGTCGGGGTTCAGGACAGCGCCGGGCCTGTGGTTGTACTTGCGGAGGTGCTGCTTCAAGCTGTGGCAGTACTTGGCCACGTAGTTGCAATCCCTGCAGTGGTACTGGTAGATGTTGGAGTGAGACTTCATGTGGGAGTTCAGCATGGACTTGCTGACGCACTCGTACGAGCACTCCTCGCACTTGTACGGTTTGCTGCCGGTGTGGTTTCTGGAATGGTATTCGAAGTGGTGCTTGTATTCGGTGACGAAGGGGCAATGCGGGCAGGCCAGGAGCTTCTCGCTTTTGATGTGGACCCTGTAGTGATCCCACATGTCCTCTTTGCTGCTGAAAGTCTCCGGGCAGTGTTTGCATTTCACCATCTTGCGTTTGCCGCCGAACTTCGCGACTTTCGGCTTGTCGTCCTCCGATTTTGATTCATCTTCGCTGCTCTTGGAGACTTGCCCCGGGTTGTAGGTGCTCTGCCCGAAGGCTCTCTGCAGATGCCTCAAAGCGTCTTCGTTTACGTCAACTTCGTTCTCGGATTCTTCCTTGTGGTCTCTTGAAGGCTCGGAGATTGGGGGAGTCAGCAAGTTAGTAGGATAACTTTTCACTTGCTGTACGGGAGTACTGTAGTACGAATTCTGCGCGCTGTTCGGCACTTGGTGGTACATGTTGGTACTTCTTGGAATATTGATGGGGTACGTTTGGGTGGCATTCGGTAGGCACGGGGAGTACTGTCCGTTCATCGCGGAGACGGTTGTGGGGATTGGGGGGGAGAAGGGGTTCATGATGTCGTGGCTGCTGTCGCTTCCGGGGGATGAAATGCCGGAGTTTATACCGGAGTCGTCGCGATCGTCCATCGGTTCCTCTTTCTGCAAGAAAGACAAGAGTTTATATGGCGAAATTGTTTATGTTCGGATGTAATAGATAATATTTGAATATTTACAATTAACCTAGTAAAGTTTTTCAGTGTAAACAATTTACCACGTGCACCGGTCGTAAAAAAAGATTATAAAAACTACTGTTTACATTGTGAAGTGAAAATAAGACTATTGTTTTTGAGATTATATATTTGCGTAATATGCAGTAACAGGCTCGAAATATTTATAAATAGAGATAGTAGGCCTGTTTGGTTTTGAAAGAACATAAAAATAGTTCAGGCTTCCGATATATTTTTAGCTTGGTTAAGTTTAATGGCAATAATAAAAATTAAATTAATAAACAATCTGCAGGAACCAAGCAAGATTACATAACTGGATAAACAAAGTATTTCCTTCTGGTTTTACATACAAATTTCGACTTACCGGTATTTTGTACTGCCAAGGCACTGTCGGGGCTTGATTACTGGCCATCATGTTCGCCGGATAACCCATGGCCATAGTCATGGTCTGCTGTTGGGCAACTTGCATATTTAACTCTTCTGCAAAATGGTAAACAAAGTTCACAACTGGGCACGAGATAGAAAGTCTATGTTAAAAAGTTTTTGATATTATCCACTGCACTTAATCCATGCGTGTGTAACGTATATGCAAACAATAAAAAACACTACTAGTTTAGTTATAGAGCACATTCACATTCCCTGTCTGACTCAAACGATTGTCAAAGCTGAACTGAATTTTGTGTCCATGAAAATCAGGATAGCCATGCGGAGTGGACATCCCCTCCACTTTCGCGTCCCTCCCACTTCCAGGGTGGGAGTCGAGTCAAGCATGGCAAGACTAGACCGGAAAGCTTCCAAAGCTTGCCCCGATTTACGAGATCTATTCCTTATTAAAAGCTTTTATGCGATATTAAAAAAACGCGAACAATGTAGCATAAAAATTGCCATGCATTATGTCGTTAAAGTTTATAGATATTTATGGAAATAATGTCTGCCAAAAGCTACATTTAATATTTTTATAATGCCTTTTCATGTTGTTTTTATAACGGCGCCACAAAATAATCGTTAAGTAATTAAACTAAATATCGCTATTTTTGGAGATATATTCCAGAAAATAATAGATTATATTGATAAGATTTATCTAAAATTCCCAAACATTATTTTTCTGAAAATAACAAAAAATAATAAGGTAAACATTGACTTTAAATGCTAATCTCAATTATGCTAATTCTCTTCTTAAAGAGGTAATTTACTCGAAACTCTTTCATAAAAATGTTACCCTTGCGAATCCTGGTACCTGATTTTCAAAGCAGCCAAATTTGACTATCAAAAAAGTTCCAAGAAAATTGCGAAACGCCCTTTTTACTAAATACGTGATTTATGGCAAGAACAAACATGTTTAAAACATAAGACTTTCGGACTAAACTATAGTTATACATAGATATATCAAAAACTTTATACAGGGTGACTTAGGAAGCAGTTAAAAAAGATTTGTGCAAAAATTTCTAGATATTACAAAAGCATAAAAAAACATTTTATTTAAAATTTTATAATTAATTAATATTTTATCAAATTTAAGTGTATCTACTTAAAAAAAAGTATTTATCTAACAATACATTTTTTACCAAAACAAAAACAACTTACCATGATAAAAATCCATATTTAACCACAATCACTTTATATCACTCAGAAATATTTAACGAACGGTACTGTTCACTCTGCACTGTATTGGTAATATGGCAGTAAGTCCAAATTTGGCCATTTAAATAAATGGAATTTCTGTTACCTGTATTAACAGAAGTAGTTTAACTTCTGTAATTAAAAATTAAGCAGGCCATTTTTTACCACTTGCATTTACCTCTGTTTTAAAGTTTTTTATTACCTGACGTTGTATGTTTGTTTTTCAATGTATACGTATTGTAAGTTTTTAAATAACTTAGGTAAACTAAGTAAAAATATAATTTCGTTTTACTAAATATGTTTACAAAAAGTAAAATGTAGGTATGTATGTTCTTTTTGATCAAAATATTTTTAACATGACATTGTTAAAAACGTTTTTTAACACATCCATAAATTTTTTCTTTCGATGTTTTTAAACACATATTAAAATTTAGTTGTTAATTAAAAAAAATATTTCAAAAATCATATTTTATAAAGTATCTATAATATATTGTACCTCAAATCATAATATGCTCAAATACACAGAAACAATAATAATATAATATAAAAAAAAATATATAAATGCCTTTGGGTATTGCAAACATGCAAGTAAATACAAAAAAAATAGGAAAACGAAAAAAAATTGAATAATAAACAAAAATTGCAATAAAATCAGTTTTTTCCAAAGTTGTTAACCTTTCTGAAAATGTTGTGTAAGAATCTTCTAAAATAATATAATATCAATATTATTAGCCTCCACACCCTTAAAAGTTATTAATTATTGTATTAGTACATAAAATACAAAAGCGTAGACAATAAATCGATAAAATTTCATTTTTTTATCCTATTTCATTCATATTATCTCCGCCTATGCCTATGAAAAAGCATCTGTCATTGATAGACTGTCATTCAAATTAAGTTAATATTTTTTTAGTTTTTGTTAAAAAAATTACTTTTATAAGAATATAAGTAATATTTTTACTATATTAAAACCACTTTATAACCGTAAATAATTCCTATTTGTCTGTGAACTTTTTAGGTTTTAAAGTGGTATAAAAATCATTAATAATGACCTAAAAGAAAAAAAAAAACTTTTACTTAAAAATTAAATAAACGGGTAATATTTAAATTAAATGATTTTTAAGGCTTTCTACAATTATGTGAGTTATTTAGATTTATTTGTTTTGTACATATGTATGTTAGTGACTTATGATAAGTCATATATTTGTTTTAAACACTATATTAAATTTTCTCGTTATAAATATCAAATGAAACCATTTTGTTGTCGTTAAAACCTTGGTAAAAAAATATGACAAAAAATAATTCTAACAAAAGTATAATAATCTAAAAAAGCATAAATTTATAAACATATTGTTTGACAATAATCAAAACACTTTGAAATGTTTGTCCTGTAATAGCTCCGTATTCTTGAACTCTTCTTTGTCGCCGATTAACATTTTTGTTTTTATAGTGGTTTCCATAAATATTAAATCATCCAAATTATAAAACCCTAAATTTCTTAATTTGGTTACAGAAATATTTATATCACTCTTATATACCCCTTAAAGAGCTTAAAGAATTTATGAAGGTTATCGGTACCTATTTTAGTAACGCTATAAAACCCAAGTTTTATAACGAGAGATAGCAGGAATATTATGGATACCACTAAATAACTTCATAAAGAACTGCTACCGGCTTTTTTCCTTCTCTTAATATTTTATAAAATTGTTTTCAAAAATTAAACAATTAAAAAGTATTTTTTGATGAACTGTTAAATAGCAATTTTCAAGAGCTTTTTAATGAGGTATCACAAAGAGGGTATTACCATTTGAGAAATGTTTGATATTTTTTTTCTTTTACAGTCGCAAAGTAAAAAGTTTGTACCTACTATGATAAAAATCAAACATCTATTATTATCGTGTATAACAGTACATTTTTTAAATAAATTATATTTAGTATTTTTTTAAATTATAAAAAAAGATATTTGGCGCCAGTGTCATTAGATGATTAATTTTTTACCTATTTACCTAAAACTTAGATAACCTGTTTTCGTTTTGTGTTACTTTTAATTGTTTTTTTTATTATTTATATAGTAGTATGTATTTACAAATGATAAGGGATTTTCGTGAAAAAAAAAGTTTTTATCACGGCCAAACTATTTAGATAACACATATTTAGAGGAGCCATACTCAGACTAGGCAAATAATAGTTAAAAGTTATTATTTTTTTGTAGATAAAAATTTAAAGCGCAATAAACTATTTTTTTGTGTGTAGTTTTAACGAAAACAATAAAACCAATTGGTTTAATAGATAAATGTAATATACATATGTATGTATGTATGTATTGTTAAGCTCCCAATACATTTTAATTAAATTATAAAAACAATGTTGTTCAATATTCTGTTTAATTAGGAAACTATGTTTTTTACTATTGATAAGTCTTATCGGGTAAATTATTATTTTTTACGTAATTTCGAGAAAAATTCCATAGCAAATAACTACTTTTGGGCTACAACTTTTATACGGGGTGTTTGGAAACTATCTACTCTCTAAAAATGAATTGGTCAATAATGACTAATTGTCATAGCGAAAAAGCAGCCACTAATAATTCTAGTCAATAGCAATTTGTATCCCGAATATTTAGCAGTCAATTTCCATGTTCAATTGTCCCCTGAATCCGAAAATGTCGTCAAAAGTTAAAAAAAGTAGGACAGTTTTTGAGATATAGTCAATTTTCCATATAATATGGAATTGACTATATCTCAAAAACTGCTCTACTTTCATAATTTTAGACGGTAATTTCGGATTCAGGGGACAAATGTAGGGAAACCATGGTATCCCATGGTTAACAATGGTATAAGAGAAAAAAGCAGCCACTTATAACTGTAGTAACTAATCATTTTTGACTAATTCATTTTTAGAGAGTACCTGAGACAAAACGACTTTGGTTTGAAGGAAAAAGTTGCAAGTGTGTTTTGATAAAAGGCATTTCTCAAGTAGCACAACTGGTTAAATAACTAGTAAATTAACCAAAATATAAGTAAAATAACGTTTTTTTTTAAATTAGTTGTATTTAACCATTAAGATTTTTTTAAGGTTACTATAAGCTAAAAAATAACCCTTGAAATTTACCAACCGGTTCCTATAATCTTAATTCAAAGATAATTTTTTAGTATATCATAAAAGAAACCTATTGGTAATATTACAACAGTAGTTAAATATTTGGTTTATTTATAGTCAATTTAAACTTGAAATAACCTTAATTTAACTATAGGTTATTTCAAAAGTTTAAATTGACTATAAATAAAGAAAATATATATTTAGTTAGTAATATTACTTTTAAGTTACATATCGTTTATTAACTTAATTGTTAAGACTAGTCATTTTTTTAGACTGATTTTGGTTAAGTTTTACTTTTGATATAACTTTTTGGTAAATTAACCACAGCTTTGGTTAATTTGGATATATTTTTTTAACCAACAAGTTATATTTCCCCAAATATATTTTAACTCGCTGGTAAATTAATAAAAAAATAATTAATAAACTTGTTAAAAATAATTTAGTTTATTTTAACAAATTTTGGTAATTATTAACTATTATGTGTAACATTAACCGAAATTAAACCAAAACCAAAGAGTTATAAATTAGAGTAGTCAAATTACACACAATAAAATAACCAAATGGTTTAAATATACTTGCAGGTTAATTTATATTGGTTATATAACCAATATAACCAAAAACAAGGTAATTTAAACAAACCAATAATAAATATATTATTATTTTATGTTTAAAACTATTTTAAATTAATTTTGAACGAAATAAAGAAAAAATGGCAAAACAAATTAATTTTTAATTTCTTTATTTCTTATTTTTTTTAAGCGAATTTAAAATATGCTATATATATATAGCATATCTATAGAGTTAAAATAAACTTAAACTGGTTAAGTATAGTTTAAGTTGACTTAAGAGTTTAAAAAGTAGTATTTCCCAAATTTTATTTTTTAGGCCCGATTGGGTCAATGGTATTATGGTAGATATGAATAAAATTTTATCGCGTAGTAGAAATTATAATTATTATTTATTAATACATCGAAACACTGATAAGAGCTCATATCGAAGTGTTTTTTAACTTCCCAAAATAAATAAATAATTTGGTTGCACTATGGGACAAAACGACTACTGTTCTGCAAAGCCATCTGATCCAGATGATCTTAAAATCATTACAACATAATTTTGTCCCATTGTAATATTTTTCGAAATCGGTTCATATTTTGCCCTTGACCTTTATTTTTGTCTACTATGAATTATTATTTAGATAAATGCATAGTAAATATTGATTTTTTTTTTAATTTTTGGAGCTCACATAATTTAACATTACCTAACATGACCCAGCGGAAAAATGTTGTTTTTTAAGTTGATTAATGCGAACCAAGTTTCAAGATAAAAATATTATTTTTTGTGTTGACATAATTTATATATTTTTAGATTAAACAAAACATTTATTTTTGGATAATAATTTAATTGATGTTGCTTAAATTACAACGATAAGATTAAAAAATACTATAAAAATACATAAAAGTGGTAAAAATATAGTATATTTTTTTTAATTAATGTAATATTTTTAACAATATTTGTAAATCATTTTTAACCTATGTACATCTATAATTGAACATTAATAAATATCATGATAATACACTGCTTATATTTTATCTTAACATGTCATAATAATATTTAAATTGTTTATGTAAAACTACTAATAAAACGGAAAAAAATACCATAAACATTTTTATTAAGCATTATTATTGTTATTTAATTAAATTTAGGAGATTTCGAAATAGGTTGTTTGTTATAAAATAGTTCAAATAATTTATGGCTTGTTTACCAAGTCTGAAAATTTTAATTCGTAACAGTTTTAAGAGATATATGTATAAAAAATAGATAATTAAAATATGTTCGTCGGTTTTATGTTTTTTGGCTGCATCAAAAAGTTGTTAATTAATATAAATAATGTGATAATTAAAGAGTTACGCAAACACAATATTTTTATTTTTTCTGCTTTAAGTATTATTTTTTATAATTATACAGGGTGCACCCAGTATGCGTTTACTTCTATGAGTTTCAAAATATTTGAAAAAAACTAAAAATCCTTTGAAACAAAGTAAGTTTCACATGCAGGTAAACATACCCATTAATCTACATTTTTTA